TTTAATTCATTTGGTCTTGGGGCATTTCCCATAATGGAGTTCTATAACCTTGGGTAGGGAGATGAGGCATCCAAGAGGCTCCATATAGCTCATGAAGAAACATAGGGAGTAAACATTCCAGTTACACATCTTTAATTATGTTTCTGGGGGGAAAAAAACCTAGAAGACTATTTTTTCTTTTTTTTGAGATGGGATCCTATTTTGGAGGACTTCTTGTATTTTCCTCCCAAATCAGAAAAAAAAAATCACTCTAATTTTTCTATTCCCTTAGCCTCCTGACTCTGGGGGACTCCACATTTCAAAATATTCTAAATAAGATCATTTAGGTTTTTAAGAGCTAACCAACTTATGTATAATATGGTTTTACAACCCCAAGCCAGCAGAGTAACTTTAGATAAATAAAGAATTGAAAAAAAACCCAACTTGTTGCATACAATCCAATAAGAACTAATAAGCATTTATTAAGTTCTTACTGAATGCTGAGCCCCAGAGATACAAAGAAAAAGTGAAAAACAATACTAAACATGTAATATACCATGCTATCTGACATATTATTTAATCCTATCCATACATTTCCATTTTTCTCTCTAAATAGTCCTTTGAAACTTTTCTCCCAGGTTTCAAAAGTTTTAACAACATTGCATCTTCAGTTATGGCTCTGTTGGGAAGATACCATTCTGGGTTTCATGAGCTATGACATCATATGTACAGTTGGAAGTCTTGAACCCAGGGGTTCACTACTTCTGGGAAAAGCCCCAAATTTGTAAATATGTTCAGAAACTTCTCTCGTGAAAAAAGCTACTAAAGTTTGCTTAAGGAGACACAGCCAGCCACAGAAACTCAGACCGGGAATTTAGGTTTGCTGAAACTTTTCATGAATAAAAATGGCTTGATTAATTCCACCCTTCCTTCTCCTTCCCACCCCCACCCCCTGCCCCAGGAAAAACATTTTTTTTTTCTTTCTGAAGACTGAAGGGAAAATTCTTGGGTAAAGTCAGTAACCTAAATGCAAATCTTGTGTTACTACCCATAGGACACGGCTGCTGTGCAACAGCCTCTTAGAGTAGCTTGGAGGTGAAACGGGATACCAGACTGCACAAAGAGTGTTAAGGGGCAAAGAAGTTGAAATAAATCTTTCTTTTCCAATTTAAACCACGCACATGGCTGTTAGTAACTGAATGAAGACATTTAAGTCCTATATATATTTTTATTTTGACAGTGACCTTTTATAAGTGTGCAACAGGGACAAGCCCAGGGATATTCCAAAGGAGCATTTCAGGTAATTGTATATGAAATGTGATACAGTGCGATGATATTAATAATACATGAGTCCCATGTTATAGCTAATATATAGCTCATTTGGAGGGAGCACTTTGAAAGCACTTTGCGAAAGATCTCATTTGAATCATAACTCCATGCAGCTCTTTTTCTTTCTTTCTTTCTTTTTTTTTTAAACCTGTTTGCAGATGGGGAGACTGAGGTTTTCACATGGCTAATTCCCATAAGGTCAAGCAGTCATTGGCAAGGCCTGGAATAGAAGGCAGGGCTACTCCCTCCCATTCTGCTGTTTGGTCCACATTTCCTTTCATTAAATCTCCCCACAAAGAAAACACAACAAAATTACCCAAGAGCCTGAAAGCACTATATACAAATCATCCAAAATTTGCTTCCTTAGGTTTTCTGAGATATTCTAAAAGTAGAACTTTTACATGTGGGAAAAACGTACCAGCTCAGAAGGTGGGAGATCATGTTCTAGTCTTTGGGTGAACTCTGACTTTTGCTGATGCTTCACTTCTTGGTTTCCTTTTACTTACCTGTCAGATGGGAGAGTGGACTATCTGATCTACAAAACCCCTTCCACCTCTTAAAGGCTTTGGTTCTAAATTCAGCCTTCTGAATTGATGCTAAGGTAGAACAATTGAAAGTTTTGGTGCCTCACTTTCTTTACCTGTGAAATGGGATACTTACCAATCTTAGCTATTCACAGGAGAGTAGCAAGGATCTATAGATGATGAGAGAATAGATAATAAAGCACGATGAAATTATGAAAGGTGTTATAAAGGGAGCATGTTATTGAAAATGAAGTGTAATGCCGGCTTTCAGTGGCTGGGGTTGTTTTAAACAAAGTTGACCAAAGGAGTACTGGAGATCTGGATTCTAGTTCAGCTGCTATTGACTTGGGCAAGATTCAGTTCCATTCATCAAATACCATTTTAAAAAAAAATCTGAAATGGGGAAAAGAACACCCTCTCCTCATAACTATTTTAAATAAGTTTTAGTGATGCCATTTAAATAGCTTTATTGATGCTATTGTCTTTTATTCTTACACGAGATATAGGCCCTTTTATTCTCCACAATTCCCCACCCCACCCCCACTCAAATCCTCTTGTAAGTGGAAATAAACAAAAGTAGACAGAGAGCATCACTGATGTGGATGCAACATTTTGCATCTTAGTTCCCTGAAACCTCTCCTTGAAGAGAAGGGAGTCTCCCTGTAGAGACCTCAGAGAAGCAAGGATAAATGAAAGAAAAGATGCAAAGAACATTGATACAAGGAATAAATATGTAAACACATTAAAATATTACATAAATCTAAAATGCAATGTAATAGACTTATCTGTCGACCTATTAATTGGCACTTCACACCTATGGTGAAATAATGATTTATGTTTATAATGATGACTTCAATATCCAGAAATGCTTACTGAGTCATCAAAGATTAAACTGATACTATAACTTTAGTTATAGGGCAGCTGGGGGCACAGTGGATAGAGCACTGGGCCTGGAGTTTGGAAGATCTGAATTCAAATCCAACCTTCCACACTTACTAGTTGTGTGACCCTAGGAAAGTCACTTAACCCTGTTGGCCTCAGTTTCTTCATCTGTCAAATGAATTGGAGAAGGAAATGGCAAACCACTCCAGTATCTTTGCCAAGAAAAACCCAAATGGGGTCAAGGAGAGTGCCACAGAAAACAACAATATAACTTTAGTACTAAGTGGACCACATTTTACTCTTTTTCTGTACAACTGGATAATCAGGCAATAATAGTTTGCCCCTTTGAAATGGAAGCACCTCGAGGACAGGAACTGTTTTTTATTTGTTTGGCAGGTACTTATTTAATGGTATTGGATTTATTTCAATTGCACTGGACTTACAGAATGGAACAGAATTGGATAACATTTATATAGGAACTATTATTTAACCAGAACAATGAATGCTAAATCACTGAGAATTTGCTAGAATAATGACTAAAGTTACTACTACTACTACTACTACTACTACTACTACTACTACTACTACTA